TGGCTTCACGGGGTTGTTTCCTGCAGGTACCCAGTGGAGCCTCCGACGGCCAGTCTACGGTCTCCGCCAGGTGCCTCGTGAGTGGCACGACACACTGAGGACGACACTTGCGGTTCTTGGGTTTGCTTCTTCAACTGCTGACCCGTCGCCGTTTCTGCGCACCGGCACTACTCTGCCGCAGTTCGACATCCTCGTGTACGTCAACGAAATGGTCTTTGCCACTGCTGACACGGAGGGACTGGCCCTTGTGAAGTCACACATGCACAGACCTGCGCAGCTATCTTGGCTTGCAGATCACCCGAAACAGAGCACGCCGCACCATCACCCTGAATCAGTTACACATGGTGCCGCAGGTCCTTCAGCGCTTCGGCTTCACTTGGTCCTCGCAACAGTCCACTCCTATGGCTACCAGTCACTAGCTGTCAGCTCCACCTTCGGATGAGTCCGTAGAGCCAAGTGGCCCGTATCTAGAGCTTGTGGGCTGCCTCATGTACCTGATGACCTGCACTCGACCTGACCTTGCTTACCGTCTCAGCATCCTGGCACGCTACGTTGCACCCGGGAGACAACGACCAGAGCATATGGAGGTCGCTAAGAGGGTGTTACGCTACTTGTGCAGTACCTCGGGCATGGGGCTCGTGCTTGGAGGACGGATTTGAGTTGTTCCCACTGGCCACGCAGACGCATCTTGGGTTGACGACTTGGCTACGCAGCGGTCGTCACAGGGTTACACTTTTAGCCTTGGCTCCATTTCTGTTTCTTGGCGGTCTACCCGCTCGTCTTCTGTTCTCAGTTCTAGTTGTGAGGTTGAGATCTACGCAGGGGCCATGGCTGCACAGGAGTTACGGTGGCTCACCTACCTGCTGACCGACTTGGGAGAGCAGCCTAGTTCTCCTCCAGTTCTGTACGTCAACAACAAGGCCATGATTGCCCTGTGTCAGGAGCACAGACTAGAGCACAGGACGAAGCACATTGCTCTGCGTTACTTCCTTGCTCGAGAGTTGCAGCAGCGGGGTCAGCTTCGTCTTGCTTACGTGACCACTCAACCCAACACTGCTGATATATTCACCAAGGCACTTCACCCTGGTGATCATCAGCGTTTCTGTACTGTTTTAGGCCTTGTGCCTACTTTGCCTCACTTGCTCACTTCGTGACTTTGCTTGTACTGTGATCTATATACTTGTACCTGCATGCTTACACTTGCTAGGTTGTGATCACTGTACTGCTTGTTCCCATATATATGACTCTGCATGTGAATTGGCCTTGTGGCCATTTGCTTGTGCTCAGATGTGTGGTGACTTCGTGATCCACCCTGAGCTTGCTTTGCTTTTCTTGACTGGTCTTGTGACCCCTTGTTTCCCCCCACTTTGCCTATGCGGGTGTGTCAAACTATAATGTTGCTGCTTATATTGTGTAGGCTGTAGTGGGGTAACCTATATGGGGTACAACCCAATTAGGGTTAGTACTTTTACTCAGTTTGATCTCAATGCCATCATTCCTGCTCGTTAGATTCTGACAACACTAACCACTGTGATAAAATAGCTTGTTTGTATTGCGGGTGAGTGCGCCCGTTACCCCTCCCCAGAATCAATCGAGGATCTCCAGTGGACCTCTGACACGTAATTTCCTGGATAAAATAAAAGACCCCCCCAAACTAGAACACCCCTGGGTAGCTAGTACGAAGGGGGGGTGGGGAGCTACTTTATTAAGACCCCCCCCCCCCCCCCCCCCCCTTCCCCTATAGGGGTGTTTCCATGTAGACATCGAATTAATAAAATTAAGCTGAAACATGTGAGGATGCGAAATTGGACTGTAGGGGGGTAAATTTGCTGCATCAAGGGGCGAATTTTCTGCGCCAGGGGGCGAGTTGGCTGTGTCAGGGGGCGAATTGGCTGTCTCAGAGGGCAAATTTGCTGCGTCAAAGGGCGAATTTCATGCGTCAAAGGGCGAATTTGCTGCGCCAATGTGGCGAATTCGCTGCGTGAGTTGGCGATTTTGTTGTGAGAGGCGAATGTGTTATGACTAGTTCCTCATATTCGTTTTGGCTTAGGCTGATTCGTCAGCCTTATGGTTGTGCGCTGATCAATCACTGTTACCTTGGGGAAAAAACTGAGATTTCAACGTTGCCCTTTGAGAAAAAGTTGATCAATCAACCTGACTGATGAAAAAAGGCGGAACCTTTTCTACGCGACAATCGTAAACATGCACATACCTGGTTGCAGGTTTGGGGTGGGTTTTCATATCGCGCGGCAACAGGGCTATCGATATCAAGGGAAAATTACATTTTCATGCCCTTTCTGGCGGATGCTCTTTCTCAGTTACCCTTTCTCATGAAGGGTAATGGGATTTTTATCTTAGGCTAGAAAGTGTAAGTTTTTTTTACCCTTTGAAAAGCAACGTAAAGAATTTCTTTCTCCGACTGTACAGGGTACGATCATAGTTATACTAATACCGAATGCGCCGTAGCGAAACAAAACACTGTACGAGCCCCTGCAAAATTCTTCCAACACCGAGAATCGAACATGCCATCTTATATAGCCAAGACGTAATCGTACCAGCTAAGCCACTAAGTGTTGTGTCAACGGGGGTTGTGTGTTGGTCCCGTCCTCGCTTGGGCGGAGCGGACTCCGTAGTCGGGTGAGCGGGGAGCACATCCGACCAGATGCATTGACCAGATCCGACTTAGGCGCGCAGGTCGACGGGCTTGGTTGACCTGGACGGGGCCACTGCGACGCCTCCGACTTTGGGGCGCCGGCGGTCGACTTCGACCCGGTGGTCGACGAGGGGAAGGGCGCTGACCTTGGAGGGCGCCGACGTTGACCTAAGGGTGGCGCCGAGTTGGAGGGCGCCGAGTTTGGTTGTTCGACCTGGCGAGGTCGACCTGGGAGGACGCCGACTTCGGGGCGTCGACCTGAGGGGCGCCGACTTCATGGCGCCAACCTGGGGAAGCCGACTTGGTGAAGTGGCTGGTGGTCGTCGACCTCGGTGGTCGACGGGCACAAGGAGGAGCAGCTTGGTCGACGTGGTTGCTTAATCGACCAGGTTACCCTGGCGACAGAGTTCAGCGGAGGAGCGTGACAGTCGCCCCGGTGGCTGTGGTGAAGCCAACTCCGGTGGGGGTATTCCAAGGTCGACATGGCTGATTAAGTGCAGTCGTCAGCACGATGTCGATCTGGTGTACGCGTTGTGCAGGTGATAAGGCACAACATGCCAATCATCTGCGAGCACCTGCGAAGCGGGTGCGCTACTGTCATGCGGGTGCAACACTATGCAGCCACCTTGCTGCAGCGTTGGCACGCCGTCCACTTGCTGCGTTGGAAGGCCGCGACTTTGCACTTCTGCAGTGCGGTCGACCATGCAGCGCTGGAATGCGGTCGACCGTGCTGCGCTGGCAGTCGACCTGCTTGCATGCTAGTTCTGATGTAGTCAACCTTGCCAATGTTCTTGCTACCATTGTTGTGAACTTTTGCTGGTGAAACTCTTGCCAAGTTTCCCCATGAATGCGCAAGAAAACAGAACAAGCACAAGTGAATGACTAAAGAACGAACGCTACGATCACTCCTTCTATGTACCTACCCCATAGACTAGCTCCCGTTGTACGAGTTATTTCCGCATGGTGCGGTGAGCATGGACGACACCGCGACTTACATTCAGTCTAGTCGACTTAGTTGCACACTACCTATCTTGTTCGTAGGTGACGCGGGCGTAATCGATATCCTGGAGACACGGCTGGGTGATGCGAGGAGACGCCATGCTAATGGCGAGTATGGGATGTTGGAGTAGGCTAGAGCTCGCTCTGGTCTTTATTTTGGTGTTCTTATATTATTTCTCCATGCTTAGAGATAGTTACGCATTCAGGTTCATTTTAGGTTCAGTTTGTAGTTCTTAGTACAAACCGAACGCACCCTATATTCAATTAGGGTTTCCAACCCTCTCTCTTTTGTATCTCGACATTTTTCTTCCTAGTGGAACTTTTTCGACCCTACCTATCTCTCTCGCCATCCATGGCTCCTCTCATGCTAACATGGTATCAGAGCGTGGTTCTAGGCATTTCATATTTATCCGTATTTCTTAGATAATCTCCGGCCCTTAGGCCATTTCCGCGCTACTTAGTTAGACGGATTTTTTATTATCTCCTTTCTTTCCCGTCACTCTTAAAAATCACATTTTTTGTCACGTTATACTCTCGCGGATCCCTCAATCCAGTCCATAGCGCGTCGCCATACCGCCCTTATCACCCTCCTGCGCCTTCCCATTCGTCGCGCCTCCTTCTCCTCCCGTTTCTGGCGGTCGCGCGCCCATTTCCGCCCAAAGCGCGCTCAGCCGTCCCTCCCCTTCCCCCTTCCCGTCGCGCGCGCATTGCGCTCCCGCCGCCGCGCGCGCTGAGCACAGTCCAGCAGCGCGCGCGCTGAGCACCGTCCAGCAGCGCGCGCGCCTGCCCTTCCTTGCGGCGCGCCCTGCCCTTCGTCAATCCGCCCCTTCCCTCACCCTCCTCCTCCTTCCCTCTCTCCTTTGTGCTTCCCCCCACTACCTCACCTCTTCCTCCTCCTATTTTCTCTCCCCATCTGATGCGGCTCGCAGCTCCTTGTGGCGCGCCCTGCACTTCCTACAATCCGCCCCTTCACCCTCCTCCTCCTCTCCTGTCTCCCACTAGTTCCCTCTGTGAAAATGAACGAGGAATGAAAAGACTAAGGGAAAGTTGGGTACAAGTACAAACCCTAGAAAGCTGTACCCCATATGTGCTACCCCACTATAGCCTACAGCAGCTAAGTCATATAAATCTGACACACCCCCATAGGCAAAGTGGGGAGGACAAGGGGTCACAAGTCAGTCAAGCAAAGCAAAGCAAGCTCAGGGTGGATCACAACGTCACCACACATTCCGAGCACAAGTTCAAGGCCACAAGGCCAGTTCACATGCAGGATTACATATATATATATATATAAGGCTAAACAAGCAAGAGCAGGTGTATATATATATATGTAACAGTACAAACAAGGTCAAGGGGTGAGCAAGTGAGGCAAGGTAGGCACAAGACCCAGCTGAGTACAGAAGCGCTGATGATCACAAGGCGCAAGTGCCTTGGTGAAGATATCAGCAGTGTTGGCCTGAGAGGCCACGTACGCAAGGCGTAGCTGACCACGCTGCTGTAGCTCACGAGCAAGGAAGTAGCGAAGAGCAATGTGCTTCGTTCTGTGCTCCAGTCTCTGCTCCTGACACAAGGCCAGCATGGCCTTGTTGTCTACGTACAGCACTGGAGGAGAACGAGGCGGCTCTCCGAGGTCAGTCAGCAGGTAGGTGAGCCAGCGAAGCTCCTGTGCAGCCATGGCCCCTGCGTAGATCTCAGCCTCACAACTGGAGCCGAGAACAGAAGACGAGCGGGTAGCCCGCCACGAGACAGAGCCGGAACCAAGGCTGAAGGTGTAACCCTGTGACGACCGCTGCGTAGCCTGGTCGTCAGCCCAAGAAGCGTCTGCGTGCCCAGTGAGGACCACTGGACTCTGCCCTCCAAGCACAAGCCCCATGCCCGACGTACTGCACAAGTAGCGCAACACCCTCTTCGCTGCAGCCATGTGCTCCGGTCTGTGTCTCCCAGGAGCAACATAGCGTGCGAGAATGCTAAGAGGGTATGCAAGGTCAGGTCGAGTGCAGGTCATCAGGTACATGAGGCAGCCAACAAGCTCTGGGTACGGACCACTCGGCTCTACGGACTCATCCGAAGGCAGAGCTGAGAGCGAGTGGCGAGTAGGCAGAGGAGTGGCCTGAGGCGAGGAGTACGTGAAGCCGAAGCGCTGAAGGACCTGCTGCACCATGTGTGACTGAGTCAGGGTAATGGTGCGGCGTGCTCTGTCCCGGGTGATCTGCAAGCCAAGGTAGCTGCGCAGTTCACCCAGGTCTGTGCACGTGTGTCTCTTTTGCAGCTCAGACTTCACGTGGGCGAGTCCAGCAGTGTCAGCTGTGGCAAAGACCAAGTCATCGACGTACACGAGGATGTAGAACGGCGGCAAAGAAGTGTCGGTGCGCAGAAACAGCGACGGGTCGGCAGTAGAGGGAGCAAACCCAAGAGCCGCAAGCGTAGTCCTCAGTGTGTCGTGCCACTCACGCGGTGCCTGGCGGAGACCGTAGACTGGCCGCCGGAGGCTCCACTGGGTGCCAGGAGGAAAAGTCCCAGTGAAGCCAAGTGGGCGGCGCAGCCAGATCTCCTCGTGCAGGCTGCCCTGCAAGAAAGCAGTGCTGAAGTCAAGAGAGTGTAGCTCGTAGTCACGGTGAGCAGCTATGTGCAGCAGTACCCGAAGAGTGGTCATCTTCGGGGTGGGAGAGAAGGTCTGAAAGTAGTCAACTCCCTGCCGCTGACTGAAGCCACGAGCCATGTAACGCGCCTTGAAGACAGGCGGAGAACCCGGCGGCCGCTTCACCCTGAAAATCCACATGCCACAGACGATGTTCGCCCCAGGCGGGGGAACCTCGTCAACGTAGGTGCCTGTGGACTTCCAGGAAGCCATCTCTGCGTCCATAGCTGCCTGCCACTGAGAGGAGTAGGGACCCTCTATCGCCTCCGCGTAAGAGCGCGGAGTCGGGATGTCAAGTGCATCCGGGTCTCCCTCAGGGGTAAGCAGTACGGACACGAGATGAGGTGAAGCAGCAGCCAAACACTGGAACTCCTCCTGTCTGTCCTCAAGGACGTCCGTGCCAAGGGCACACTCACCCCCGACGGACGGAGGACAGACAGACTCAGACGCAGCAACAAGACTAGCAGCGTAGTCTAGACGACAGCGAGCAGCAAAGTCGACGAGCTCAGCAACTAGGGCAGACGCAGCAGTGGACTCAAAGGAAGGGTCAGTGACAACAGTAGCAAGGAGACGCGTGACAGTCGGACTGGCAGCACGAAGGGAGTCCGACTCCGGGTCAGCAAGAGCAGGAAGAGAGGACTCAGGAGGAGAAGGCAAAGGGGCACGCAGAGGAGCAGTGGACGGACGGAGAGACATCCGGTGCGTGCCGGGCACAGGGGGAGGACGCTGACGCGAACCACGACCACTAGCGGGAGCAGCACGGATAGGCGACGCAGGACGAGACGCAGGCTCACGACGCTCAGCAAGACCTCCAGTAGGACCAGTGTAGGGAGAAGGAGCAGGCAGTGGGGAGGCCGGCTGTAACTGTAACTGTGACGGGACAGGCTGTGGACACTCTAAGGGAGGAGGAGGACCAGTAGAAGGCGGGAGACCAAGAACCTGCTCAAGAAGCGGAACGAAGTACGGCCGAGGCCGCGCAGCGACTCCAGACACAGCAGGGACAGCACCAGTACCCCCAGTGGTAGCACCAGCGCCAGCAGCACCTCCATCTCCAGTACCCCCAGCAGCTCCAGTAGCTCCAGGACCTCCAGCAGCACCAGTAGCACCCCCAGCAGGACCGCCTCCAGTACCGCCAGCAGTACCCTCAGCGCCAACACCCTCAGCAGCTCCAGCTCCAGTAGTACCCGCAGGCCCAGCAGCTCCAGTACTCCCAGTACGAGCACCTCCGGGACCCGTGGCACCAGCACCCTCAGCAGCCGAAGAACCTCCAGCTCCAGCAGCATGCCTCCAGCGCAGGGCAAACCACTCACGCACCTCCTGTGGAGAGAGTGGCTCCCGTCAAGACGGAGCACCCAGAGAACCTCCAGGCCCAGCACCGCCAGACGCCACACGAGCAGGCCCAGCTCCCTCAGGCTCCGCACCCCCAGGCTCAGCACCTCCAGGCGTAGCACCCCCAGGCTCAGCACCCCCAGTCGTAGCACCCCCAGGCTCAGCACCCCTAGACTCAGCACCCCCAGGCTCAGCACCCCCAGTCGTAGCACCCTCAGGCTCAGCACCCCCAGGCTCAGCACCCCCATGCGTAGCACCCACACGCTCAGCACCCCCAGAGTCAGCACCCCCAGGCTCAGCACCCCCAGCAGCACCAGAGTCACCAGCGACCTCCACAGGCTCGACTGCGTCTACCTGGGACACACCTGAAGGGGCAGGACCCTGAGGGGGAAGGGGGTCTACCGGGGGGGACCTGGCACAAGGAAGAGCGGAGGCGGGGGGGGGGACGGAGTCCGGTAGGGGAAGAGACGGTAGTAGGGGACCGACTCGTCAAAAGTGACGTCCTGGGAGGACAGAACACGGCGAGAGGTGGGGTGGTAGAACTGCCACCCTGGCGCGTCAGGGGGGAAGCCAAGGAAGACGCAGGGAGCAGCACGAGGGGACAGCTTGTCCGCAGACAAGTCGCGGACAAACGCCCGAGATCCCCAGACACGGAACGCAGACGCATCGCCAACCTTCCCCGTCCACAGCAAAGCTGGGGAGGTCTCCGGCATGGAGACCCTGGGCTGAAGGTTGATCTGATGCGCCGCGTACCGAACCGCAAACGGCCACAGAAAATGGGGGGCAGCCGCATGCATCATGGACGTACGGGCGACGTCCATGACCATGCCAATGCGGCGCTCAGCAATCCTATTTTGCTGTGGAGAGTCCGGAAGCGTGAAGGTCTGGCGGATGCCTCGTGCACGACAGTAGGCTCGCAGAAGGCCAGAGGAGAACTCTCCGCCTCTGTCAGAGTGCAGACGCAGAACAGGAAAGTCCGAGCCGAAACTCTCTCTGAGCTGGAGACGAGCTGCGCGGATCCAGTCGATCAACACCTCAGTGACATCACCCTTGCTGCGCAAGGGGAAGACTGTGGTGTAACGCGAGTAGTCGTCAACCACCAGCAGGAAGTAGCGCTCGTGACCCTGTCCACGGACGCGGGCCGGGCCCCACACGTCCATGTGAAGCGTCTGCAGCGGGGCCTCTGTCGGAGGAAACTGGGAGGAGTGAGGGGCAGCACGCTGCCGCCCCTCGACACAGGGGACGCAGGTAGGGGCAGGCCCCGGAGGAAGGGGAGGGGGGGACCGGGGAAGACCAGAGACAAGGACACGGGAGGCCATGCCTCGGAGACGAGGCAGGGAGGGGTGACCAAGGCGGTGGTGCCAGAGGAGAGTCTCGTGAGACAGGAGGCGACACGAGCAGGGGGCATACTCAGGACCAGACCTAGACGCTGCAGTAAACACCTGACCCGACGCAGCTGCCTGACCAGACGCAATGACTGGAGGAGACTCAGTGGTCAGTGTGTACAGGCTCGACCCCGGCCGACGTGTAAACGTGGCCAAGTGTCGGCCCGTCCGAGCGTCCGTGCAGTAGGTCACACGCTGGCTCACAGGAGTGAACTGGTGAACCCCCGCATCCTGTAGGTCAGCACCACTCACCAAGTTCGTAGAGAACGAGGGGAGGTAAAGACCAGACAGGGTGCCAGAGGGGGCCGCCGGACACGGGAGGACAGTGGAGAAGTGAGCAAGGACAGGACCCCCAGAGGGGTCTGCCAGAGAGACTGCAACTGGCCGACCAAGCGGCGTGAGTGTGGTGCGGTCTCGAAAGAAGGAGCGAGAAGCCCCCGAGTCAAGAGTGAAGGTGTGGGAGGCCGGAGCCGACGCAGTACCTGAGAGAGCAGACTCACCAGCACCTGAGGAAGCAGACACACTGGCACCTAGAGCAGCAGCCTCGCTAGCACCTAGAGCAGCAGCCTCACCAGTACCTAGAGCAGCAGTCCCAATGCCCGGGTCGGGCGGAAAACACCAGTAACAGTCACCCTCATCACTAATAGTCACAGCATACATGGCAGCAAGCATAGCATCAAAGTCAAGGTCAAAGATAGCGATAGCTACTCCCGCCCTAGACAGCTCGCCCCAGCGAGGGATCTCAGTTGCCTCAGGGAACTGGTGACGCCAAGCGTCCGTCAGGCGGCCAAAGCAGCGCTGGGTGGAGTGCGCACCTCCGCACGGCTCACCCGCGCGGTCGCCGGTGCGTAGGACGTAGGTGCACGGACCAGTACCCCCACCCCGCTGGCGTGCAGCGTACCACTCACGAAGCTGCTGAGGGGGGGGGATCTCACGAGTGCGCTGCTGCTGCTGCTGCTGCTGCTGCTGCTGGCGCTGACCACCACCGGAGCCGACCCTCTGCGCAGCGCCACCCCGACCAGCTCCACCTCCTCCGCCGCCGCCTCCTCCACCGCCGCCACCTCCGCCACCTCCGCTCCCACCGCCACCGCCGCCGCCTCCGCCTCCACTGCCGCCACCGACGCCCCCACCCCCGCCACCACCCCCACCGCCACCCCCACCCCCTCCGCCGCCTCCACCGCCGCCTCCACCGCCCCCGCTAGCTCCTCCAGCGCCCCTGACCCCCTTGCCCTTGCCAGTGCGGCGTCTCCCGCTAGGGGAAGACGCCGCACCGACCGACTCAAGACCAACGAGGTCGGCCGCAGCAGCAGAGGCAACAGAGGGCAAGAGAGGAGAGGGGGAGCACCCCTCAAAGACAGGGGCACGAGGGTCACCACGAGAGGCTCCTACAGCGACTATGCTCTTCTCTGCTGCTAGGAGGCGCTCCTCGAGGAGGTCAACGGTGAGGGTGGTGGGGCAAACAGAGAGAAAGTGGTCCCTGACCGGGCGAAGGGTGTCAGGGAGCCGGGTGACTACGTAGTAGAGGGTGATGTACATAGGGGGGGGGTTCTTGGCGCAGAACTCAGGAGGAAGGGCAGCGCGGTAGCGAGTGTCACTTGTGCGCAGGTGCGTAATGAGGTCAGCGACTGTGGGAAAAGCGGCGAGGTCAGGGAAGAGGTACGGCAGGATGAGGCGGCTAAGTGCAGCAGTGGCAGGGGAAGAGTAGCGTGCAACTACAGCGTCGTACAAGGTCTTAGCACTCTTGTACTGACTAAAGTGTGCACGCTCAGCGGTAGGCAAGTGGCGGCGCACAGCAAGACGGGCAGCAGCGTCGCGTGTGGCCCACTGTGAGCGAACAGTGGCGTCAGCATCAGCAGCAGGGGCAGAAGAGGCACCAGAAGTGAGGTCAAAGAGAGAGAGACCGTCTGCCCTGTCGCACTGTAGGAAAAGCTGCAGGTCATCTACCCAGACGTCAAAGTCAATGGCCCGACCCTCAGCGTCAAAAGCGAGGACACTGGGGGTAGCCATGACAGCAGTAGACTAGCAGCTGGAGCAGTAGGGTAAGGGCAGCGCAGTGGTAGAGGTGCCGCTCTTACCGGACAGGGCGGCTCGGGCGGCTCGGCAGCTCGGCGGCTCCGCAGCAACTGCAGCTCGGCGGCTCGGCGACTCGGCGGCTCGGGCGGCTCGGGCGGCTCGGCGGCACGGCGGCTCGGCAGCAACTTGAGCTCGGCGGCTCGGCGACTCGGCGGCTCGGGCGGCTCAGGTGGCTCGGCGGCTCGGGCGGTTCGGGTGGCTCGGGCGGCTCGGCAGCGGTGGCGGCTCGGTAGATCGGCGGCTCAGCGGCGCCGGCGGCTCGGTGGTGACGGCGGGGCCGCGTGGGGACGGCGGCGGGGCCGGGTGGGGCGGCGACGAGGCCGCTGAGGGCGGCGGCGGGGCCACGAAGGGTGGCGACCGGCGCCTTAAGGGTGGGGCCGCGGGGTCGCAAGGGTGGGGCGACGGGGCCAGCAGAGGCGGCGCCGGGGCCGGGAAGGGCGGCGCCGGGGCCGGGAAGGGCGGCGCCGGGGCCGGGAAGGGTGGCGCCGGGGCCGCAAGGGTAGGCGACGGGGCCGCGAGGGCGGCGTGGAGGGGTCGCGAGGGCGGCTCGAGGAGGCCGCGAGGGCGGCGCGAAAGGGCCGCGAGGGCGGCGCGAAAGGGCCGCGAGGGCGGCGCGACGCGACGGGACCGCGAGGGCGGCGCGACGGGGTCGCAAGGGCGATGCGACGGGGCCGCTAGGGAGGCGCGACGCGACGGGGCCGCTGAGGCGGCGCGACGGGGTCGTAAGGGCGGCGCGACGGGGCCGTGAGAGGGGAGCGCGACTCGGGCAGAGGCTGAGCGCGCTCCGGGCAGGAAAAAAAAGTTGGTGGGCCCTAGGAACAGTTCCCACAGGGGAACCTGCTCTATACCATGTGAAAATGAACGAGGAATGAAAAGACTAAGGGAAAGTTGGGTACAAGTACAAACCCTAGAAAGCTGTACCCCATATGTGCTACCCCACTGTAGCCTACAGCAGCTAAGTCATATAAATCTGACACCCTCTCCACTATCTCATCCCTCCTCCACCTCTTTTCTCTCTTCATCTGCTGCAGCTGGTAGCTGATTGTGTTGTGTAGCTGTTGTTCCTCCACACCTTCCCTCCCCCTCAACATCCTCCTCTCAACTGCTCAACTGCAAAATATTCACAATTCTCCCTCCTCCTCTTGTTTCTCCCTTCAGCGGCACAGCAGCAGACTTCTCCGCAGCTATCCCTCATCCTTTGGTTTCTCCCCTCATCGGCGCAGCAGTAGACTACTCCGCTATTTTCCCTCGTCCTTTGGTTTCTCCCCTCATCGGTGCAGCAGCAGACTACTCCGCCATTTTCCCTCCTCCTCTGGTTTCTCCCCTCATTGGCTCAGCAGCAAACTACTTCACCATTTTCCCTCCTCCTCTGGTTTCTCCCCGCATCGGCTCAGCAGTAGACTACTCCGCCACTTTCCCTCCTCCTCTTGTTTCTCCCCTCAGCGGCTCAGCAGCAGACTACCCCGCCCTTATTCCTCCGCCTCTTATACCTCTCCCCACATCTGCTCTGCAGCTGTTTCCTCCTCCTCATGGCGACCTCTGTTGCCCTCCCCCCCCCTCCCTCTGCTGGTCCTTCAGCTTGCGCCCGATGGCAGTGCAGTCAACTTCCCCGGTTGGCCGAACTGTCTTGAACGCACGCTATCTGACACCCTAGTGAGTGGCTTTAACCTCTGGTTTGTCACTCAGCAGAGTGGTTTTGGCGCCATTCCTACCTCTCCCTCTGCACCCACCTCTTCCTCCTCTGACCCCTATGCTGATGGCCTCCGTGCTGCCATTGCTGAAACTGAGCGGCTTGTGGCCATGGCGCAAGCCACCGCCAAGGCTGCTCCTGACAATGCTGCTGCCCGTGACTTAGCTCGTATTCTTGCTGAGTCCCTCGAGAGCACCCGCAAGTGCATCACTGAGCACCTCGCTGCCCCTTCTCCTTGCTCTGCCTCTACACCCCTTTCCTCTGCTCCATCTCACTCTGACCTTCTCGCTGACTGGCATATTGCCAACGCACGTGCGTGTCAGGTCATCCTTGCCTGCCTCCCTCCAACTCTTGTGCTCGCACATCCGCTATGCCAAGAACCTTCTCGACTATCTTACGACCTTCTCAGCGTCATTGCCCTCTTACCCGAGCTCACCTCTCTTCGTCTTGGCAGACTACATCGCTCGTGTGCAAACGCTGTCCTCCCAACTTGCCGCTCAACAGTTTGAACTTTCCGATCATGTCTGCGATGCCCTCCTCCTCACAAACCTCACTCCTGATTACAGTGTTCATGTCACCTTGTATGGTGAGCGCCGTGCTGACCAGCGGTCGTTCTCCCGTGTCTCTGCCTTCCTCCTCCAGGCAGAGCTCAACCTCCGCAGCTGCCCTCCTACTGTCGCTGCTGTCACACCCTCTTCTTCCCCTCCTCCTCTCCCCACCACCACTGCCGCCGCTGCTTCCTATCGCCCTCGCAACACCTTTCCTCCTTGCACCTACATCATTTGCCAGGGGCCCCGTAGGGGTCAGCCCTGTGGTCGCACCAATCATCCCACCTCCTCCTGCTTCTAAAGCTCACCGATGACTGGTTCCTAGCTGGCAACACTGGTCACCCTCCCAACTGGCTCCAACTCTCTCTTCAGAGTCGCCAGTCCTCTGCCCAGGCGGTCCTTACGGCCGCCGACTCTAGTGCAGGTGCTCAGACCTCTGCTCTCAGTGTGACTATGCCTAGTCAAAATAGCATTCTGGGGGCTTCTCCCCTTATGGACCCTCGTTTTGCCATGATGTTCGCTCCTTTCTCTTAATGGCAATGATTCTCAGTATCTTGGTCCCACAGCTGCTGCTTTTTCCCTCCCTCGCACTCTTGAGCTTGTTCTTGACAGTGGTGCTACTGACTCTGTCTTTCGTGATGTTGGTGTGCTTCGCTCTTTTCCCCATCCCCTCTCCTTTCAAGGGGCTAGGGATACCATGACCATGACTTGCACCGCTACCTCTTCTCTTCCCTGTCCTGCCTCCCCCGCTGGTGCTGTGACTGGCCTCTATGTTCCTTCCTGCCGCCACAACCTTCTTTCTCTCTCTGCCCTTCAACCTCTTTGTGTGCAAGCTATCTTTCCTGAATGTGACTCCTACTGTGATCTCTATCACCGCAACCGCCATCTTGCACGCTTCATTCTTTCTCCTATCACTCGCCTCTACACTCTTCGTGTCTCTCTTCCCCCTTCTGCCCATCATGCCTCTTCCGCTTCCGCCCCTCCCGTTCCCTCATGCGACTGTCGCTCTCTTACGCAACCTACCCTTCTCCTTCATCATCGACTTGGCCACCCCAACTTTCCCCTTCTTCGCAGTATGGTCTCTTCTAAGCTTCTTCATGGCCTCCTTCCCTCTCTCCCCCCCCTTCCTCCCTCTACTGCTCCTCCATGCACCTTATGTGTTCAGGCCAAACTCTCCCAGTCACCTCATCCCTCTTCTCCCTCTGCCTCTCCCCAACCCCTTGACCTTGTTCATATGGACCTCTGGGGTCCCTCTCCTACTGCTTCTCGTCAGGGTCATTGCTATTTTCTGCTTTTGGTGGATGACCACTCACGCTTTGCAACTGTCTATCCCCTCCGTGCCAAATCTAACGCTCCCTCCC